CGAGATTATTGTTCTTGGGACTCAAGCCTCTGTTCAAACACGAAAGAAAAAACATTTCCTAGGTTTTCAACATATTTCTACGTGTACTTTGGCAGTATTTTGCAATTTTATCTGCTGTTGTCCACCAGCCGTTTATCTTGGTTTATGTTGGAAGTGGGAAACGCCATTATACGGAAAAAGGTTTTTGTCACTTGCACTCTGGGCTGCTACATCTGTCAGCATGTGCTCCACGTTTAATTGTTTAATATTTTTCTGGAGAAATACAGTACTGCGTCGCGAGGCGATGAAAATAATGAAATGCTCTCAGTTTACATAATTTTTTTGTTTAACCTCAGGTGTTATGATTTCTTCTTGACAGTATGACAAAAGACAACACTACTTGTAAGGGTTGCTGCGTAGAATTTTATTTTACTTTGCACATGCATGGTCTTGGCCAGCCCTTTACTTTGTACATGCACTTATTAAAAAGAACGCTGCGGACTGAAAGCAGCATTGATACAGCTATAGACCCATTGCACTGACGTCACAAATCCTTAGAGTGTCCTCCAGATGTTCCCTAACAATATCTGTTCGGGTACAACAACGATATACAGCGCAAAAATTAACCATTTTAATAAAAAATTATTATAAGTTTTACAAAATTTGCTTTGTTTACAAAAGTTATATTATGCTCAGATTGCTAACTTGTCCTCCGGATGCATTGTCACCGGCGCTGTGACGTCATGTGCAATGGGTCTATACCTGATAAATGCAAGGAGAACTTCTATGTTCCGGACAAGGACTCTTCGTCGGGAAAACCTCGAAACGTCGAAGCTTTTCTTGCATTCATCAGGTAGTTTTATCCCTATCAATATGCGGCTTTTTTATTAAGTTGGTATATTATCTATACTGTTCGACATTGTATCACGTGAGATTATATTATTTGGAGCGCGGCTAATCACTAGCGAATGACGCCTTTCGAACGTCTTATATAGCCTGGTTTGAGTGGCTTCCATATGGTCGTAACGATCGTCACTCGCCAGAATGATATGCCGTGATGGAGTCACGACCTTTCTCAACAGCCAGTTTATAATAGTTTATACCTGTAAACCAGATATAAATATTCAAGTATTCTCTAGTTATAATTACTCCGCGTATTTTCAGTTCTAAAATGTTGTATTTCGGCTGACGAGAAAGATCGTAACACAATCTTTACGACCGTTACGACCTGCATATGGACTGGCCAGGCTTTAAAAACTACTGATTGGGAGGGATTCAACTTTCTGAAAAATACAAGTATAAAACTGCTACGTTTTGAGTGAAGGCCCTTCGTCAGGAAGTTGACAATTATATATTTAATATTGTACATATTATACAGTACTTGGTCGCTTTAATTAAAACTGTCGTAGGCAAAAGCTGTTAATTTTACAATGTAACATATTTTAAAGCATCTTAACTTTATGCATTTAACGTCTGCTCCCGTGAGAAATAGTTACAGTATATAGTTTTATTTTCCTGAGAGTCTCCCGAGACGATGTTGAGGAAACTGTTTCCCAAAGGAACAGACGTCAACAGATATGAAATGTTTGTCATATAGCAATTAGCGACGAATGAAGAATAAACATCGTTCACAATTGCAAACAATTATATTTTGTGAATAAAACTCTTGATGATTTTAACAATAAAAAAGTCCTAAACGGGTGTATTTTTCTTCTCTGTTAGATACTTTATTGTTTTCGTAAATTGGAACGTTCTTTCTAAACGATTGAACTGGAGCGAGCAACAACTTTCACTTGTTGCCATTTCTGCCATGCTGGATACATTGCATTTATCTAAAGCCACGTGACCCCAACTCAGCCAATCACATTTACCTTAAGAACAAGCTATACAATAACAGTAAATTATTTAATTCTTGACATTCAAACTTGGAAAAAGAGGTTTAAAATAGATTATTTGGCCTGATATTTTTCTCAAGGAATACAAACTTACGTACTTTTGGTGGGCCTTTAGCCTTTCTTTATAAGAGTACCGGTTTTTTACCGATAACCCTTAAACCCTCCCAAAAGGACCTCGGAATAATAATTAGTAACAACTTAAAATGGTCACCTCAGATAACCAGTATCGTGTCAAAGGCAAATCAGATGCTTGGTTTTCTCCGACGTAACTGTATCCACCTGACTGATACGAAATGTCGACGCTCACTCTATCTGGCACTCGTGAGAGCTCATCTGTGTTATGGAAGTGAACTTTGGGCGCCTCAATCAGCATCAAAGGACCTTCTCCGTATCGAAAGTGTTCAACGACGAGCGTCCAAATACATACTTCAAGATTACCACTCTTCCTACACTGACCGACTGAAACTTCTTAACCTTCTCCCTATTTCGTACTGGTATGAGATGAAAGATATTATTTGTTTCTACAAGATCAAATCTGGACTCTACGACCTAAACCCCGAAGATTATATCGACCACCCTACCCATCATCTGACCCGCTTCAGTTCAACCAATTGCTACAGACCCAACCTTTGCAGAACTGCCTATTTCAGAAGTTCCTTCTTCAACAGAATTGTGCCTCTGTGGAACAACCTTCCTGAAGATCTGAAATCCTCCACCTCTACTGCCACACTCAAATATAAACTGAAGAACTACTACCGGGTCAAACTTGAAACATTCTTTGACGTTGATCGTCCGAGGACATGGAAAACCATTTGTTCTAAATGTCGCTCTTGTTCTATTACTTGTTGTTCATGATAGTTGAGAGCGCTCCAAGCTGTCTTTGCATTTCCAAAATGTCTTTGCTTCAGTCTGTTGAATAAATTAAATTAAACGCCCAGATAAAAAACACCCGGGCAGTCTATGTTCTTGTAATACTATCTTTGGAAAATGCAGGGACAGCTTGGAGCACATGCATGTTTAGGATGTTTACTGTATTCTGTGACTATGTCTGTGCTGCACAATGTTGACTCATCTATATGTATATTATTTTTTTTTCTAACTTGATCATTTTCCAAACCATATTAACTTTGGAAAGTGTAAAGATGGGTTGGAACGCATTGATCGTGTGTTGTAATTTTGTATTGTAGCTTTGTTAAAGTTTTAACCTGTCTCTATTGTTTTACAATGTCAGTGTAATGTGTAGGTAGGACTTGATTTGGGACTCCTCAGTCCTGTTGTCTGTACCTTCAATCGTTTTATTGATTGTAAAGTTTATAAATAAATTAATCTGAGATTGCCTGCAGTGTCAATGCTCGTTTTGAAATAGCTGGATGGTTAGTGTTGTACCTTACTATGACATTTTAGTCAAGCTCAGATCGAACCTGCACCCTTTAAGTGTGAGTGAGCTTTTAGAATACCCCCTTAAATTTGTCCGTGAATAACTATAATGAGATCACACCAAGATGGCTGCCACAAGTTTTAGGGGCGGACCGAATACAATTATTTAGGCACAATTCTTCCGTAATTTCTCGCCAAAAATTCCATAAGTAATGCTTTCCGTTTCACCTTTCGCCAAATAGATAACAACTTTGCCGAATTCCTGACGACTGAGGGGTGGAACACCCCCACACACTTCCTCGAACGACGTTTATATCCTGTCTGTTGTAAAAGTTTTGTGCACCCGTTACACCCATAGTCTGCACACGCACTGCACCCACCAAGTTGAAAATGCAAAAGGCAAGGGGTGCACTTGCACCCGCTGCACCCGTGGTTCCGACATCCCTGCTGTCCAACATTGCTTACTTCGAATACTTGAACTGTCACAGAAGCCAGAGAGTAAGTTTTCAAGTATATATAGTAGCTTCTAGAACCTTGTAATAAGCTTTCGTTGGTAGGACGCAACTACCTGAAAATATATAAGGAGAATATCGACGTTTCGAGCGAAGGCCCTTCGTCTGGGGTTACTAGCGGGAGGCCCTTCGTCTGGGGTTACCACTAACTCCAGACGAATGGTTTCCCTCGAAACGTCGAAATTTTTCTTTTATTTGTTAGGTAGTTGCATCCCTACCAACCGAAGCTTGTGAATACTTCTAACATCCGCTTTTGCCAGGAGCTTTTCAAACAAAAAGTTAAAGAGTTCTGTGTTTGTGCAATATATTTTACAGCACATGCGATCTAAATAATATTCAGTGAAATTAACTGTTGTTTGATTTCAGTTCTAGATGGGACTTTGTCGACAATTTTTCTTTACTAAAAATACTATCTGTTTAGTTCTCTCGAACGAGATGCCCAAACATCTTGATATTTATTTCATTTGACGTTTATTACTACATGCGCACATGACGTTTATTATTTATGCGCACGCTCACTGCTTGCAGTTTGAGCGCTCTGGCATGGTTTTGATGTCCCACAATCGTGAGGCATCAAAGGTAACTATAAATAAGAGTTACTTTCATCCTGCTCATCAGCACTACACTGATGAGGCCCATTAGGCCGAAACGGTACCGTCTGTAGTTAGATATCGCTCTATGGCCTTTAGGTCATATTGATCGCTCTACAGGATGAGCCATGCCGCTTACGCATTGCGCACGCTCACTGCTTGCAGTTTGAGCGCTCTGGCATGGTTTTGATGTCCCACAATCGTGAGGCATCAAAGGTAACTATAAATAAGAGTTACTTTCATCCTGCTCATCAGCACTACACTGATGAGGCCCATTAGGCCGAAACGGTACCGTCTGTAGTTAGATATCGCTCTATGGCCTTTAGGTCATATTGAGCGCTCTACAGGAGGAGCCATGCCGCTTACGCATTGCGCACGCTCACTGCTTGCAGTTTGAGCGCTCTGGCATGGTTTTGATGTCCCACAATCGTGAGGCATCAAAGGTAACTATAAATAAGAGTTACTTTCATCCTGCTCATCAGCACTACCACAGAGTAGATATACTACACAGAGGTGGAACTCAGCCAAAAAAGTGTAACCGGCCGCCAAAAGCTTAGCCAGTGCGCTAAAGAGAGGCATTCACCCCCCCGAACTCAAATTTCAAGATGGCGCCCGAGTGTTTTAGAAAATAATCGACACGAGAAACACTTGTTATTTTGCTCATAACAGTTTTCCTTTACTAAAGTTGTTATTAACATGTTTATATAATTCGTCCTTCAAAGATGTGTTGGTATGAGAAACCTTTGAAGATTATCTACCGATTTATATGGCACTATATTCATCGTAGGAGTGAAAATTGAAATTCCGAAATTACCGAGAAATTAATACTCATGTGAGTCATGTCTAAAGGATTTAGAAGAAATGTAAATGGTATAATAACTTATGTGCAGCTGGATTTCGTTGTATTTAATATTTTGTGAAATACTTAGGCAGAAATCAGTCAAGATTTCACTATCTGAAATTGAAACCGCTATTGTAGTATATGGCACCCTGTTTATAATAGTGATAAAAATCATAAAACGTGAGGGATGTTGGTTTTTTACATTTCAAACACACTATATTTAAAAAAATATGATGTACATAGTTCATATTTAACATCATTCAGGTTTGCTATTCTTTAAATGAATTTTGATTAGAGTTTCTGAATGAGATGCCGAAACAATGTGAAAGTTGGGTATTCTTTAAAGTAATACTTTCATGTGTTGTGATGCGACATCTCGGCACATGGTGGTCAGCTCTAAAAGGAAACACAGTTACCGGTGTGAGTATATTGTTCACTATATGTCTTGACCTCATGTTTGCTGGCGAATACATGCAATTTAGCCTCATTTGCTCACTCCCCAAGTCATTAGTGTTGATACATGTAATGTTGACCACCATGTATAACCAGGGACGCCGGAACTGGGGGGGCAGGGGGGGCGGCTGTCCCCCTTGCCTTTTGCTAGGGGGGGGCAGGGGGGGCAGAAGTGCCCTTTTAGTTGTAAAATAATACGTGATAAATCACATTTCCAACGATGCTTTTTGTAGGAAAATGACGAGATTCAGGTAATTTATAGTTTATATTTACAAAAATTTTGGGAAATTTTTGGAATTTAGAAAAATATTTTGAAGAAATGGCGAAAATTTAAGATATCCGGAAAAATTTTTGGCTTCACGGAAAATTTTTGTATGTCCGGAAAAAATTTTTGACCCCTAAAATGGTACACTGACCGAAATTTTTTTGCAGTGAAAAAAAATTTTTCAGTAAAGGTGCCCTTGGTGTACGTCCGCCCCCCTTTGCCCTTTTATCGTTCCGGCGTCCCTGTGTATAACCCTTGTATAACCCTATGTATAACACCTTGATGTTACCAATTGTTTACATCAGAAGGTACATATGTGCAGAACAGACTTGACCGTCTGTTCATCTCTAACCCATTGAGTCGCATTGTGCACTGATGCGCCCTACTTTATTATTTTACTCTGTCTCAGGGTTGGTAACTTTCTGAATAAATAAGCCAAATATTATTATCATAACCTTTGTTTCTTTTGTTCGAAACAAAGACATGAAAGGGCCGCTTATAACAATGTTTGGCTTATTTATTCAGCAACCTACCCACCCTGCTCTGTCTAACGCCAGATTATTTTACTCTGTCTAATGCTATACAATTTTACTCGTCAAGGGGAGAGTGCTGGCACTTAGTGGGTTAACTCGTTTATCTGCCCATGAAGTGTCTAGTTAACCCATTGAGTCACATTGCACCCTACTTTATTATTTTCTGTCTAATGCCAGATGATTTTAGTTGTCAAGGGGAGAGTTCTGGGTTAATATTTAAGTAGAATTAGCCTCTTCCACAGGCAACTCTGTATTGTTTTGTATAATAGGTTTTATATTTGGGATTTTTTCCCCCCTTGTTTTGCTCTCCCCAGGCCTAACACTATTTTGCTTGAAGCTCGACCAAAGTTTGATCATTTACAAAATGCATTTACAATACAAAACAAATAAGAGTTGAAAACCTGTTATACAAAACAATACAGAGTTGCCTGCAGAGGAGGCAAAAATAGAATATGATTTATAACAGCAGATAACATTGAATTGTAGAAATCTAAGAAAAATAAAACATTCAAACAATTGATGTAAACAATGTATTTTTCAGTCTTTTCAATATACCACATTTATCAAATGTTCATATTTTACCATTATTTGTCTGACACTCCGGGGCTTAACACTGATACATGTAGGATAATCTATGCTGAAAAAACCTGGAGGTAAAGAGTTGGGGGGCTGGAAAATTCTTCACGAGGGCCTTTACATGCAGCTGATGTAGAGTCCAATGGCTTATTATTACCCACATTACAGGAAACAAAAACCTGAATCTATAGATTCACCTCTCACACTCTGGCCTATAGCCTCACTTCTACTTCCAGGGGAAGTGAAATTGTCACACTCACACATTATTAGTTCCTTCTATGGTGCATATGGCTCAAGAATTTTAACAGTGTCAGTGAAAATGTCCAATGTTTATTCAACCATTAATTCACCCTCAACCCATGCATGTACAGGCTGAAGTTATCTGGTATGCCTATATGCACATGGGGAAAATTTTGAGTACAAAAATAAAAGGTTGACCAACAATCTTGCTAGCATTTTTAATCAATACACCCAGGGGTGAAGACCTTGGACCTTCTTAAAGAGGGACATAAAAATCCATTTCAAAGGAATGTTGTCACCCAAATATTTGGCTTAAAAACTGTATTATGCATTTCCAGGGAGCTGGTTCCAAAATATCTTGGAAAATATTTCCAGGGGAGCCAATGAAAAACATTTTTGGAAACTCCAGGATGTTTTGAAGGTCGTCACCCACAATCACTACTTAAATACTGAACACTGAAAAATATTTGGGTTTTTATCAAATTTGCCAATCATCATTTGCTTCTTCATCATAACTCTTGCCCAGTCTACAAATGGGAAAAATTGTTGTCAAAAATGTTGTGTCTTGGGCAGGCATTAGTTATTACTTGATTAGTCTATTACAAAGCCATGGGTAGCCTGTCCTCTCATCTAGGTGCATGCTTAACATGATTGGTGCATATAGAAATTATTTTGGAAAAGAATGTCACTATATTATTTCATACATTATACATACAATAAAGTACACTAAGCATCTGTTAAATTCCAATTATTAGCATTCACAAACAACAGTGTTACTACAGCCAAAATAGCAACAAAATATATAAATCACAGACAAAATATATAAATCACAGACAAAATATATAAATCACAGACACAGCTGATTGAGCTGAATGCTTATAAATGGAACTACTGAACGTAGTGAACTACAGTACATACAGCTACAAGTATACAACTGTAAAATATCAGTAAAAAGTTGTAAAAACAGATTAAGTCATTAACTATATTCTGAATTCACATGACAATTGCTAATGTAACCCCCTGCACTCTTAATTCCTGACTATCAGACAAATAGCAAAAAAAATTAGCATGAATGTGTTATTGTTAAGTTTTTAATAGTCAAAAGATTCACACTGTACCTTAAGATAGAAAACTTTTGCCGTTTGTCAACCAAATTCTTTGTCAAGCAAAGTTTCTTCCTTTCCACAAAAGATCCACGATATTTTACACAAATTTACAGGTATATTAAAGCTAAAATAGCCAAGCAGGCTAAGCCCATAAACCAAAATATGGCAAAATATTTACAATTCCCGCTCATATGAAAACAATTTTGTTGAAAAAAAAGAAAAAGAAACAGCAAATCTCTCCCAGATTTACCTCTTCCCATAGGCAAAATTGAAAATAAAAATAATTCAACAAAAATCAGCGAGATTTCAAACAATATCCTTGATTTCGAAACAATTTTTTGCGATCTTTTTAGTAAAAAATGCCCGCCATTTTGTAAGTTTTCGGGGGGGTGAATGCCTCTCCTTAGCGCACTGGCTAAGCTTTTGGTTACACTCAAACATTAGCGTTTCGTAATACAGTTACACCTCTGTCCAGTATCTACTCTGTGGCACTACACTGATGAGGCCCATTAGGCCGAAACGGTACCGTCTGTAGTTAGTTATATATATATATATATATATATATATATATATTCTTGTTTAGAGTGGAAAGTCTACGTACTTAAAACAGATAGCATTACTTCAAATCATGGCCCAGATTGGTTCTTTTGTTCCCGCAGAATATGCATCTTTCAGAATAACTCGACAGATTTTCACCAGAATTGGCAGTGATGATGACATTGAAACTAATTCATCCACTTTCATGTTAGAAGTCAGTACTACATTTTCTAATTTGTTATTATTATTTCCCAAGGTACTTTTATTTACAGTACATATATACATAATATGTTTCGCAATAAAAAATGTCCTAAATGTAGGATTTTCAATATTTGTCCACTTTATAGTTTCTTTCCACAGTTACTAATTATTCTACCTAATTAATATTGATTAATCTTATTTCATTTTTTTATTTACAGATGAAAGAAATTAATTACATCCTGCAGGTATGCTACCCTGGTTGCCAGAGGTTCTATATCTTTCGCCTTATTCTCGCTCGTATTTATTTTACGCGAGGTGAAGAGAACCTCTGGTGGCACGCGATACAAATCTCTCTTCCTTTGGTACAAAATTTGTACCAAGCACACGATTGGTCAGTTATAATTAGCAATCACATGAAGTGCTGTGATTGGCTAGACAAAAAAACCTGTTCATAAATCTCAGAGAACAAGATGTAAACAAAATACAGAAATAATACGAACGTATTAAAATGATTTACTTAGTGACTTAGTTTGTTCCGCTATAAAAAAGATTTTCTGGGCTGGAGAAGAGCTGCCATCGCGTCATGACTTGAGTTGACGGCATGACATGTTCACTCTATTACAGTATTAATATTTGCAAAATATAGTGTTAGTCACTTGCTTTATATCGTTCAAGGTTTTAAATTTTGATAATTCTTTGACTTTAATAGTTATTAATAAGATTTATTTTGAAATGTTATTCTTAAAATCATCATACAACCTCATAGCTGCAATGCCAAGTGATATAGCCTCAACTATCTGGTCTTGAATTATACTTTAAAGTGAACAAATAACAAGACAACTATATTAAAGAAATATTCAGGATATATTTAAAATGTATAATTGAAAGATCAAACTTTTCCGTATTTCTTAGGAAGAATCGCGATAACCGGCGTCTTCACCACGTAGCAAATTAATAACATACTTTCTCTGTTCTGGTTCAACTGAATTTCGAAGCCTAAATACTTGAAATATAAGAAAGTTTCCTCGAAAGCATTAACAGGCGGCATATTTTTGATACGCGACTATAAACGCGTCAACGCGAGCAAAATTATTGTTGGCATTTGAGTTACGTAATTACTTTCGTTAACGAGATTAACCAATGGGAAGCTTTTCCGAAGATTCTTCGGAGAAGAACAAATTAATCATAGGCATTTGGGCAGGCGTTTATTCAACGACGCCCTTTCTTCTCCCGCCCGCACTAAACGCCTGCTACGCAGGCTAGTAGTATGACAAACCCGGAAGTTTAAAAACGTCACAAAATATAAAACCGGTTTTGCAAGTTCTCAAACGGCAACGTCAGCATGGAAGAGAGATTTGTATCGCGTACCACTAGAGGTTCTCTTCGCCTCGCGTAAAATAAATACGAGCGAGAATAAAGCGAGAGATACAGAACCTCTGGCAACCAGGGTACAGGTATGCAGATGTTTGTCCTGAATGTCTGCGTGGCTGCATGCGGTTGTAGGGTGTTGGGCAGCGAAAATTAGGGAGGCTTGCCCGCGCTTCAAACCCATCCCTTTGAATCGCCAGCTACGCAGGCCATCAGGTGGCTTCCAATGAGGCATCAAGTCGTATGTGCGACACCCTATCCGACGTGGTAATTGGTAAACTTTGACGTGATATTCCTTTTTAGTATTTTTGCACAAGTGAACATAACAAATCCTGCACGTTGATTGGTCAAATTTGACGGGAAAAGCTGTTATATTCACCTACAGGTGAAGTTTTGTGGAAGTTTACTGACAAAGAAATAAGCGAAATTAAAATAAATTCAGTCTCAAAAAACACAAAAGCCCGTGTAAAAATACTAAAACAATTATTCGCCTCAGGCTCGGTGATTATCGGGGAATATTCACCTCGACTTCGTCTCGTCGAATATTCCCCGATAATCACCTTGCCTTCGGCGAATAATTGTTAAATATTCGCCCATGAAGTTAACAAAATGGCCACTGGCCGTTTTGTAGAAATCACGAATAAAGAAATAAGCGAAATTAAAATAAATTCAGTCCCAAAAAAACACAAAAGACGTAAAAATACTAAAACAATCATTCGCCTCAGGCTTGGTGATTATCGGGGAATATTCACCTCGATAATCACATCACCTTCGGCGAATAATTTTTAATTATTATTTTAGGTCGAAGTTGACCAATAATACTTCATGCATAGTTTATTTCTGGTTCTACCAAAAGTTATATTTTTAACCCAATTTAGGTCACACTCCTGCGGGCTCGCACGTCTTTTTTTACGACGAGCCTGCTGCACTGTGAGAAAAATTGCTGACCAGCGTGATTTACTTCCTTGTATATTCTCTTTTATCATGGGTTATTCTTATAAGCTTAGTTTGACCATGGATAATAAAATAGATGATATAGGAAACTAGCTTTCGTGACCTAATGTTTTCAAAGGGCTGATGGCGTGGTTGGATGTTGAATCCTAGTTGCAAACCAGGTTCTCAAAAACGGCATGTTTAGCAATAATACAGCTAAACATTTTAGTTAAAGAGCAAATAAATATAACTACGCTATTCTACGATAAAATCTCTAAATATTTCCAGTCAATGTTAGCAAATATTTCAAGCACTAAACAGTGAAAAATCCATTCCAAATTTCGTTAAAATTTGTGACGCCAATTTCGTAGCTACAAAAATTAATGTAAAAAATACGAAACAAAGACGAAAAACATTTACCTTGAATACTTTGTCGTGGCTTAGGCATGTTTTTAACAATTAGACCCAGAGGCGGAAATTTTGGTGTGGCGGGGGGGAGGGGAGACGAACGCCCCCTTACCTTCACGGAAAATGACGAATTTTCAGAAGTTTTGACCTAAAAAAGGGCTAAAAATAGCCTTTTCGAATGCAAATGAGGGGGAAGGGGGGCGGGGGGGGGTTGTCGGAAATTTGAAAGTTTTGTCGGAAATTTAGGAGGCTTTGGCCCCCCCCCCCCTTCCGACCAGAAGAAGTGAATTTCCGACACTGATTAGACCAGTTTATGCTTCAATATTACTCTTTTAAAGCGGAAATATATAGCGAAACAACAAAAATGTCGAGAACTTTGGCAATACGCTTGACGTCACAGATTACAACTAGGTTTAGACTATTACGTAAGGAAGTTTCCTATTCATTTATTTTATTATCCATGGTTTGACCAATGTTTAATAAATTTAGAATTCTTTTGTATCCGAGATACCTGAATAAGTAAGAAAAGTATTTGGACGAATTTCGGGCGAACTCGTGCTAGAATTGCAAATAGCCAAGATACAGTATACTGCCTTTGGGCAGAAGGGCTTGCGCTCGAAAGTACAAATTTTTGCTTGTATTTTTCAGGTAGCTGAATCCCTCTCAATCTGCATGCAGCTTTCTCTCTTTGCCAATACAAATCCATGTAATGGAAATCAAATTGTGATAAACAATAGCCACTTGTATCCAGCCTCTGCGTTGCCTCTGCCAAAGACATTACTGACATTTTTTACAGTGGTTAACACTTCAGATTGAAGAGCTTCCTGTACAATCAACTACTGATTCAACTACAAATTTCACTGGGTCCTATCTTAATAATATTATTTATAATTCTAGAATTTAACTATTTTATTGAAAAAAGATGATACCTCGTTCCTTACTTGTAAATTTATCTACATCAGAAAATCAAGAAATTGAATTAACTGTCATATACTGACAAGGGGGTAAAATATTATGACGTTTCGAGCGTTCCAAGTATGTAAGTTGTCTGCGTTTCTCCGTCGACACTTTTATCAACATTGGTCGGAGACCATACTTGTGTATTGTAACCACACTTATGTGTTTCCATTCCGAAACCACTGAGGAAGAATGCATGTGATACTATTTTGCGAAATGTTATCCCGCTCTTTATCGTTGGCATAATAATGTAATTTATCATTACATTAAGGAACGAGCAGTGAGGAAGGTCTTGCTATCTGCTACTCAATATGCGAACACCTGGTTACCAAAAAGGTAAAATTACAATTGAGAGCTAAACCGATGTAAATTCCCAAGACTACGTAATGTTGGTGGTCTAGAACAAAGGAATTTTTATTAGATTCGTGTAGCTAATGTTTGAGTTGTTGTTTTAAGTATTTTATGATACCAGAGTTTAACCCTTTCTTATGGCATATAACGTAGAAGAGTATTTGGTCACTTTATTTAATTTTCTAGGCATTCACATTCTTTGCAACGCATTTCTTGGAGTTGACTACAATGGATGGCTTATATCCGAATATTGAAAAGTAAAAGTATAATTTACTTGCTGTAAGTTTCTTGTTATTATTATCTCATTTAATTTAAATTAATGTATTTGTTCGTATCTGACGTTAATGTTTTTCTTTAGTTATCATATGGAAATTCAGGTCTTTCTTCATGATTTCCTTTTCTTACTTATATACTGATTAGACAACATTTTGCACTTTTAGATTTATTTTTATGTACATTAATGTCAGTAGTATACTAGTATTTCACAATGTAGGTTCCAGTATTGAGGTTGTCCTTAATTTTCATGTACAGTGTAAATTATCTATCATAATTTAACGTGTAAGATAAGTATTTTTGTCATTTTATCATAATTCCTATATTTTAGAGAGTTTTAAATGAAGATGCTCAAGGTGAAAAATATCATACACTCACACTTTGAGCAAAGGAAGTACCAGTGAAAAACATTATGGTAAATAAAGCTTATAGTCAATAAGAAAAATCTTGCAAATCATGAATATCACTGTGTTTCAGACAATATTAGAGAGGTTTAGATTTTGACTTCCTCTGCCGCTACCTTTGCATTGACCAATCAGATGCATTTATTCTATTTGATTAACTAATCAAATGCGCATTAAACCTGCGAGGTAGCGGTAGTGGAAATCAAATCTGAACCTCGCTGTTACCTTAGAGAGGGATGGGTTAAAACATGTTAAAATCATCTATGATGTACGCATCTTCTTTCGCCGAAAACGTTTTAGTTTTTTCCGGATGGAAAATAGTTCGGAAAATTTCTGTCCTATTAAATACGGTAAGCCTTTG